ATACATACTTGCCTACAGCATCACATCATGTGCTTCAACGTAAGCCAGCTTTTCAGCTCCGCGAGCTATTGTGTACACTGTGAAAACTATGAGCTGCTCCCTATGTTAATTATAACCTGTTTAAAAATAGCTTTTCCCAACTTTCCTTCCAAAAATAAAACATTATTTGATGACTCGTGCTATCCAAAAGATGAAGGCAGAAACAAAGCCAGCAGAAGTATTCTTGTAGCTGCAGCAAACAGCGTGATGGGCTCACTTTAGTTCTGTATGAGCCAGGCTGGAGCAATCTGCTTCCCTCATAAACCTACTGTCAACAGGAAGGAAGAAGAGGAACATTATAACCGCAGTCACAGTCGAGCCCTCTGATAGTTTCTCCATGCTGACACTTACCACAACATGACAATACAGGAAAATTAGCACCCATGTGTGGTACAGATGTGACAGTGACCAGTTACTATATAACACATTTACTGTAAAACACCATTTACTAAAAATCAAGCTAGTTTTAACAAGACTACACCGAGTACCCCACCAGATCTCTCACAGGAGCACTGAATCAGCGCAGAGTGCAAATCCTAGCCAAGAAACTGAATATACTTAGACAGTTTGTTCATGGGAGCCCTGTGTCACTCTAGTATGACTGGCCCAGACACCTGAATTAGCCCATTTAAACAGACTGCAAGGCAGTCAACCTGTTTCATCACTCCACCTGTAGTGTTTATGCTCTTCTCCAACGCACTCCTACATCCTCTTTGCTCACAGTTCTCTCATCATGCTGCAACAGATTGTCTTTTTCTTTTCCCCCTCCTATATATCTTAGGCAGGCAGACATAAAAAGAAAAACACATTCTACAAAAATACTCAGTTTTTCACTTTAAAATTCTTTATTCCCTGCCAGCCCGCTTTGCAGGCAATTCATTCTTCTTTCACAGCTGCTTAGGGACCTTTTCTTTACCAGGTGACGTACTTACGTTGAGTCTAGCAAAGTACCATCCAGGAGCGAAGCGTTGTAGTGATACTTCAAGTAATCTCCCTTCTTACTCAGTACGGTGCAGTTGGAGGGTTTGTAGTTAACAGTAATGCTGACCGAATCTGAGGGGTTGTGGAAGTCAACCACGTGGATGTCAAAGACCAGCACTGCAGATCCTGGAATCTTTCCTAAATAGGAAGCAAATCAGGCAAGTAGAGAAAGAAATGGAACCCAAACAGGTTTACGATGACCAGGTACCGCACCCTGTAGGAATATATATTCCCACTGTGTCTGCTACTGAGTCATTTTGCTCTTCTTGTTCAGAATTAAAGGATTCCATCTCCTCTGTATGCAACAGATGCAAGCTGCATCCAATGGAGGAAAGAGAACCAGTGGAAAAGCACTAAACACGCACTCAGTTCAACACTGAAGGAAAAAATTTCTATTACTCTGAATTTGAAAATTATGCAGAAATGAAGCAATAGCCATATATTTCCTGTGACCATCCTAAATGACCGATTTGTGTTTCATGTACCAATTCATTATTAATCATCAAAATTCTCATAGGATGTCCCATGCTTCAAGGAACGCTGTTACGTCTATAAAAGGTTACATTTCCTTAAAACGTCCCGATAGCAACAAACTTCTTCCCCCCCTTCCCAGAACAACGTGCAATTGCATCACCAGGATTGACAGACACATCCAGACCCATTTGGAGGAGCCTAATTCCCAAATCAAGAGCACAGAATTTGCATTTCCAGAAGAGAGGCTTTTCTTCCAACTCACTTTTTTCAAATAACATCCCAGGAGGTGCCTTTTGAAAACTGATTGGCTAGAAGGGTCATCATATTCAATCAATCTCTCACAGCAATCTTTTTAGGTAGCAGTGAGTTTTCCCAAAGGAATCTTAACTGTATGTTATACATACACAGATACTTTGCTGTTACATGCATCCACCGTTTACAGAGGTGGCTTAGGAGCCCAAAAAAACTGTGGCTGTGGAAGGAACGAGGAAGAAAACCTAAAACAACAAATTCCTTTAGCATACAGAGCTTTAAGACACACAGGAAGGAAGATCTACACTACAGAGCTCCTGGCATCCAAGTACCAGTCTGTCTGAAACACTAATTATCCAAATGAGTTCAGGTCACCAAGTACCAGTCTGCATGAAACACTAATTATCCAAATAATTTCAGGTCACCAATTACATGTGAGATTGTGCTGCCTATTTAGCTAATTAAAATAATTTTGCAGATTCTGGGTATAATCCTGTCAGTTACATGCCCACAAAATAATGAACTAATTCATAAGCCTTTCAAATGCCCAAAAAAGTGGGACTACACACAGATGCATGAAACAATAAAGGAAACATCTTTAATTATGGAAGACTTGAATGAAAAGTCAAGCTCACCTCTTCCTTCTTCTCCATATCCAAGATGAGGGGGGATTATTATTCTTCTTTTTTCACCAGTGCACACACCTAGCAAACCTTCATCCATTCCAGCAATTACATAACCTTTCCCGACATAGGTGTCATATGTACGATTTCGTGAATAGCTATGGAAAATATCTGCATGTTAGCACTGTCAGGTGTACTTGAGAGAACACAGAATCTTGCAGTAGGTCTGCAACACAATTCTTAAACCAGTTAAGGTCAAGCACACGGTGATTAACTAATACCAGAGAGGCAGAAAGCAATCACCATGTTCAATGAATCTAGGCCACCAAGTTTCATCAGTCAGTGATGCACGCATCATTTATTAACCAGTACCGGGACCCTGGCTAGGGAACAGCTTACTTGCAAACATGTTTCTGCTGTATCTTGAAAGAAAATCTCACTTACTCGTGTATTTTAAACTAAACAGAAAACATGTTTTGATAAATAACTGAAAAAAAAACGGTTTTCTCCTTTAAATTTTCCTCTGCCCTGACTCTACTTTAATATGTGCTTATCAACCACAAATAGTTTACATTCATTTTCATGAGGCACCCTTCAGACTATCTCATTTTGCAACCACAACTATGTAGTTCAACTATTACATTGAGGAAGTGGAATAAACAGGTTCTCCTGGGATGCACTGCATTAAAATGAGTCATGACAACAAAACAGTATCAATACCATCCCTCCCTTCCAAACTATGTCAATTCCTTATACATAGGTTGAAGGATCTGCTTCAACACCTAATGACAGAATAAAAGAAGCCTACACCAACAAATGATGTTTATTACAAGGATGTGTCTGTCTTTTGTTTTTCTTCAAGGCACAACCCAAGGAAGGGAAGGCAGAAAGATTTTAATTCATCTTTACGAATTAACTCTAGGGAAGAGCAGGAATAATTACAGACCCTGATGTAATTCAGAGGTTTATTCAACTGGTCTAAATCCAGACAGCCCTGGCTGAGCTGCCCGGGGGCAGTTCTGCAGCTGAATATTGCAGAGGAAAAAAAAAATAAAGGAAAAGATGATTAGAGCTCTCGACTCTAGCCATCCACAGTACTTTTGGCACGCTCCCTGTACTAGTGAGGATTTTTTTTTTCCGGTCAACTCCACGGCTTTCAATAACTATTGTCAGCTGCTCTATTTCTTCATAGATAGTTGGTTAGATATTGGTTGTGGAAGCCGGCACACAACACTGTAACAAACAAGCCCTCTGACAACAGTCAGTGCTTTAGAATGATGTAGAGGCTGCTCTCTACAAAGCATTTATTACTATTTATTGACAACAACACTAATACGAATACTACAGTCATTTTCAAAAATTGCTTAATTACTACAGAAAACACTCACTTACATCTCAAAAAAGAGAGATTCTGGGCAGGTATACTGTGGATAAGCTTAAAGTTCTTAACTTACAAGCCAACAACTGTAAATTAAGGTCTACAGTGATGGCTGTTGATGCAGGTCTTCCGCTTTCTATCGTTCCACCAGGCTGGGCAGCTGAATGGGGAGGTCAAGGTTGATTCTGAACCTTACCGCATCTCAATTCAATTACATGAGATACGATTTCCTGACTCCTCCTCTTGGGAAAAAGCACACATGGCATACTACTCAGCTAATGTTTGCAAACTGATCCTGATCTTCAGCTTGCAGCAGCTGTAGAACTACGAAAAAAAAATTTTGATAGCCTATTGTGTAAAACATTTTATAGTGGCTCATTTTCAACTCTTTTTAGCTACTTGTGCCAACTGTTCTGAAAGCTGGAGTGGGGAAATAAACTACTGCTCATTAAGGAGCAAACAAAAGTGACAGGAAGCTACAAGGGTAGTATTATTCATCATATAATTCTGTACACGAGGCTCATGTGCCCAGAGAACTTTGAATCTCAAGTGACAGCAATCCCTCTTTATCACAGAAACCCCATTGCTGACTTCAGTCTTGAAAGACATTAGCCTTCCGAACGCAAACAGCTTTCAAGTACAAAAGGAAAGGCTGTCCTGAGATTAACCTCAAACTAGTCACTAGCTCACTGAATCACAATTCTCAGGACATAAAATGGGAATCACATTTATTTCCTCTGTCTTCAGGAGCATTATCTATTTGGCAGATAAAGAGTAGGGGAAAAGAAGTCTTCAGGCATGCATGTCTAAATCATACATAGCTTCACTAGGTGGACCATCACCCCTAGATGGCGTCTGTGATACTGTCATAATACAAAATAGGTCTTTGTCTTCTTTCCCATACTGAGAAGGTTTCTGAGTTTTTTAGGAAAAGAAGACTAACTTCACCCACAAATTTCAAAAAGGAAGGAAAAGCAAAAGAATTCTTTTGGGGTATATTACGGACAAGACAGACGAGCCAAACTGGAAATGGGATCCATAGGGCTGAATGGTTCGGTTACCTGGAATCAAACAATGTGCCATCCAAAAGCGTGCCGTTATAATGGTATCGAAGAAAGTCTCCTATCTGGCTTCTCCTCTCGCAAGATTCAGGCACGTGCTGATTCTCAATAGTAATGCCATCTTTGGGGTTATGGAGATCTAGCAAAACCACATCAAAGACGAGAGAAGCTTGGCCAGGGATCTCCTTACCTACAAAAGTGTTAAGAGCAGAAAATTGGTAAGAAAGACCAGGTGTTTTAGAAGGAGCTTAAACATGCTCGTTGAAGAAAAGTAACCCACTGCCAAACATCAGACACCTCCCCCCTCCCAAATAAATTAGCGTAATCTGCTTCTAGTCAGTCATTTTTTGTTTCGTGTGTTTGTCACTTAATTCTCCAACTCAACTGTTTCATTCTGTTCCTATTCTGATGGCAATGCCTCACCAAAATCAACAGCCTATTCAGCAACATCCATCTTAGTCAAGATACACCACCTCCATCTGAGCTGCACGGTTTAGTCTACCTGTATTTCCAAGGCACTTAATGAAAATGCAAAAAATAACCATCAGAATACAAATTTGGTACAACCACTCCTCCCATTCTGTTAATATCAAAACAGGAGACCACATGATGGAAGTTGAAGAAGGGTAAATTGAGTATCTCAGTGAAAAAGTACCCTTCCATCAATACACAAATTATAGTATGGGTTGCTTTGACTGAGAACCGTTGAGCTCAAGATCTTGGCAAAATTTTAAAACATAACTCCATAAAGTTTTGTTGTCCATGGAGATGGCTATCCCAGTTAATGGTAACGAAGTCGTGGAAGGGGCACAAAACCTTGTGCACTACAGAAACTTTCTTAAACATTAGAGCAAAGAAAGAATTTAAGGAAGCATCCCAAACTATACCTAACTGCCCCTTCATTTAACATAGGGACCTTTGTGTACGACCTGCAGGCTGCATACAGTCTCACAGGGCAACTAATCCATCTTGCAGTTATTACTAGGGCATTGGTTGCAAAAAAAAAAAAAGGAACAAAACTGGAACTAAAACCACATTTTTCTTTTTTCAAGTCTTCTGCTCTCTGTGGCAGTCATTGAGAGAATTATGCAGTCATCTGATTTCCAGTTTTTCGAGCATCTAGATACTGATCACAGATTATATTCTCTGAATGAAATAAAACTTCAGTATATAAATATTACAAATGGATCAACAATATGTCTGTTAAGCAACCCACTCGTTAAATTAAAAAAACCTTTTCCTTTCTAATCAGTCCAATCCTGTATATAATACATTTTGAACCTCTCTTTCCACCACTTTGTTCTACCTGTTCTGAAATTGCTAATAACGCTGCCCATAAATTTAAAATACACAAAGTACAAGTTTGTTTTATAATAAGGATGACTTTTGAAAGTCATTTAAAAATGACACTTTTGAAAGAATAACTTTTACCATCTCCTTCTTCTCCATATGCCAGGAAAGGTGGTATTGTGATAATGCGCTTCTCTCCTACACACATTCCCAAGAGACCCTGGTCCATACCAGGAATCAGCCATCCAATTCCCACATAGGTGTCATAAGTTCGCATCCGATTATGACTAAAAATAAAAAAAACAGAAAACAAAAAAAAAACCAAACCCAAACAAACAAACCATGACCCCATGTTAGACAGCCACAGGAAAGAATAGTATGAACCTTCAAAAGCCACATGCTATGCACAATATAACTCACAACTTCCTGCTCCAAAAATATTGTTCCTTGATTTACTAAGGGCTGGCTGGGGAGCGTTTTCCAGACTGCTTAGCTATTTTAGGAACCTAACAGAGGTTTCAAAAAGTGGCTCACAAACCTAATGGCAGCTGTTATTGGAGCATGATTTTCCACCGAACTTTAATGAAGTACACATGCTGTAAACTTAAAATCTCAGTATGAAAGTGTTAGCAGCTCAATTTCATCACAAAGTCTGCTTAGTTTATAAAGCGTGTCTCTAACTTGAATAGCTATGCTGCACTGGTTATAAAAACTATTAGCAGACTGTAATAAATAGCAATACAGATACAGGGAATGAAATTTTAAAAAAGAAAGTATCTGGGCTGGTAATGCTCACGCAGAAATAATGTACTGTTTTATTGGTTTGAGTCAGTGCTGCTGTCCCATAATCCCTGAATAAGTTACTGGCAATTATATGATGCTACCTTTCATTTATTGTCTTTCTGGGTAATTAGCATTAATTGTTACACCAGTGAATGGAGAGGAAGTGATGGTTTAAAGTGACATCAAATTAAAAGACACAGAGACACACAATCCAGCTGCGTACCTTGAATCAAACAGGGTCCCATCTAAGAACGTTCCATTGTAATGGTATCGTACAAAGTCAGACACCTGGACTGTCCGCGGACACTTCTCAGGTTTGAAGTAAGTCTGAACCTGCACTTCGTCCTCCGAATTCCAGAGATCGATCAGAAGCACATCAAAATGGAGCACAGCATTGGGAGGTATCACACCAGCTGCAAAACCAAAACGAGACGACCAGTTATATCTCCCTTTTTCTACAGGACATCAGAGAAAAGGGAACCAATCTACGCATTCCCTAAATAAAATCCATGATGTACAATTTACTGCTTTTTGTGCTTATATCCCCCTGTCCCCTTGTCGCTGTTGCAGCTACATAAAGCGGGGGAAGGGGAGGGAACCTGGCAGCATGAACCATTATCAAATACGTCCATC